ACATCATTATATATAATTGATGATGATGATGCTCGCAGCGCTGCTGTCCCAAGCCACCCTAAGGGTTTTTCTGTCTCCTCCCCAGCCATTTTCCACATTGCCACTCTGATGCCCACCAAGGATTTGGATAAATACCGCTGCGACAAGAAGAGGCACCTGGGGAATGACTTTGTTTCCATCGTTTACAATGATTCTGGGGAAGACTTTAAACTGGGGACAATAAAGGTAAAGGATTTTCCTTGTGGGTGTGCTCTGGAACAGCCTCGTGGGTGTTTTGTAAAGCCTTGATCTGACGTGTGTCAGCAAACGGTGTTGAGATCACCAGTGGGGGTTGTTTGCCTTGGACTCACGTGTGTCAGTGTAAGGCATTCACAAGAATCTCCACGGCTGGAAGTAAACCATATCTGACTGTTTAATTGTCTCTCGTCAGGGCCAGTTCAATTTTGTGCACGTTATCATCACGCCACTGGACTACGACTGTAACCTGGTGACGCTGCAGTGTCGGAAAGGTAGGAGGCCCTGCGGCCTTTGCTGCGTCGCTGGTGCAGTAACTGCCTTCACCTGGCAGTGTCGTTGTGTTTCATAAGTGAAGATTTCCAGAAGCTCCTGCAGCCCATTTGCTGCTGGTTGTGCGTGGATACGTCCAGTTCCTGTCTCTTCCACGAGATAAGAGGCATCTTCCCATGGTACCACTCGTGGTATCCACAAGGCAGCAGGGTAGAGCAGGTCCCTGCAGTGATGGCTTGGGAATACTGGAGGAGATCTCCCCAAACCCTTATGGAGCAGCCAGTGGCTGGGGGCGGGGGGGGGGGGGAACCCTTTGGGGACCAGCCAGTGGCTGCGGCTGGGGCTGTAGAGCTTGGTGGGAGCTTCTGGTCCAGCTCCTTCGGTTTATATTGCACGTCCATTTAGTCACTGGCAGCTTTTGGCTTGTTCTTAACTGAATGTTTCTCCTCTTCCTTCAAAACGCAGACATGGAGGGTCTGGTGGACACGAGCGTCGCTAAGATCATCTCGGATAAGAACCTGCCCTTCGTCGCCCGTCAGATGGCCCTGCACGCCAACGTGAGTGCCCCCGCGTGCCCCCAGCCCCTCTCTGTGCTGCTGCCTTGCTCCATCACCAGCCCCCAGGAACTGAGTGGGGCTCGCTACAGCAAACCAGCTTTCTGCTGGTTATCACAGTTATTTCTGACAGCCTTTGAGTCAGTCCACGCACCAACAGTTACAGCTTAGAGTATTTCAGTCGCTGTCAAACTGTACTGTATTTTAATTGACATAATGACAACAATAACATTAATGTGCCTCTTTTTCTCTGCTCCTCCCCACCCGTCCCAAATCAGATGGCTTCCCAGGTTCACCACAGTCGATCAAACCCTACGGACACCTACCCCTCCAAATGGATCGCCAGGCTGCGGCACATCAAGAGGCTGAGGCACCGGGTAAGGAAGGAACTGGGCTCTGCCTTGAAGAGTCTTATTGCAAATAAAGCACTCAGAATCCGCTGTCTAAACCTGCTGAGTAAGAGGGGGAATATGTGCATGAAGGGGACAACCCAGTGTTGTGGGAGTCAGTGGAGGGACACAGGTCTGGACATGCGAGCGTCTGCACAGCAGCCCTGGTGGCAAGGGGCGTGGGGACCCAATCTGTGCTGGGGTGGTGGGACGAGCGGTGCTGAGCGACCTGTCCTGCCCTGCCCAGGTGAGGGAAGGGAGATTCAGACAGAACGGGGCTCATCTGCTCTCCTTTGGCTTTCAGCTCCGTGAAGAGACCCAGTACCAGAGCCCCGGCCTTCCCCTGCAGATGCACCCCTCTGCTCCCACAAAGCCCCCTCCCCAGGCGTCCCAGGACCCCCCACCCACCTACGAGACCGGGCAGCGGAAGCGGCTCATCTCCTCGGTGGACGACTTCACGGAGTTCGTGTAGACACCAGGGTCGGTGCCTCTGTTTGGGGACGGATGGGGCAGCGACAGCGTTTTACCTGCGAGCCAGGACACGGAGGAGCAGGGCTTGCCAGGCACAGCCCGGCCGTGGATTTGGCACTGAACCACCCCGGGAGGCTCGAAGGTTTCCCTGCCTCTGCTCTCTGAGGAGGACACCGCACCCCCAGCAGATGCTCCAGGACAGGCCCAGCTCTGTGTGCTCGTGGTGGTTTGGTTTGAGCCATTTCAAGGCTTCAGGTTCCTGCAGAGCCTTTCCCAAACTCCTCCCGCAGCAGCGGCAGCAGGCGAGGTGATGCTCTGCACTTCAGCACGGTGGGAAGTGCAGGAACTGTGGGGATTTTGAGGACTTGATCGGGAATGAAATGTGAAGGATGGAAAATGCAGGCGCTGTTGTGGAGCACCCTGGAGCCCCAGTTTCTCTCCAGGCCTCGCCGCCTCTCAGCCCTTCAACTCTCCAGGCTTTTTCCACCACCAGCCCTGATTTAGAGTGAATCTGGGTTCTCAAAAACCTGTTACGGTTTAACCCCGCAAGCAGCTGAACCCCAAACATGCTGCTTAAATCCCCACAGGTCTGTCTGCATTTTGAGAGCCTGACACCAACCCCTCCCTTACGAATAACTTCTCTGCCAGCAGTGACACGGCAGGGAGGAGCAGGATGGCAGCGCTGGGGCCCCAGTCCCTTGTGATGAACCCATGGGGCCGACCGGGAGGATTTGGGCAGAGCTGGCTCCTAGGTTGAGCTGGAGGTGCCTCTTGTCCTCTCAGTGCGCCCAGTAAATCCCTTGGGGAAGGACTGGTGATGGTGCAGTGGGATTACACAGCCCCGCTGGAGGCAAGATCCAGACACGACACGACCAACCCCGGAGAGCCTGGATTCTACTGCGAGTGCTTCACCTCCTGCCTTGCCAACACGTGGGGAATAACTGAGGTGGGTTTTTGGGAGCGATCTTTGCCCCGGCGGTGGAGATGAAGCCAAGTCTGCACCCAGGGCTGAGGGGACAAGTGACAGCACGGGCTTGTGCAGGGCGGTTTGGGAACGCTGTGTACGTTGTGTTTTGAGTGTTGTAAGTCGTAAAGGAAATAAATCGGATATTTGTATGGTCAGGGGGCTTCTGCTGGCCTGGGAACATTCAAACTGGGGGTCACAGAAACAACCAACCCTTCCTCCTTTCCCCTTTCAGTTTTCCCATGCTGTTTCGGTACCCACAGGTCCCACCTCCCAGTGCTGGCTCATCTAAGAAAACGAGGATTAATTGAAGTTACTCGTGCAGGATTAATTACAATCAAAGAAAACGCGGATGGGGTGAGAGAACAGAGGCAGCAGAGCCGGGTCACAGCAGTCACCGTTTATTTGACCTTGTCCTTTTGGTACGAAACATCCCCACAGTTACAAAGTACACAATTTCTGTTTGCAGTGAAACGCAGACCAGACAGCACCAGTCGGCACCTTGCTCACCATTGTCCTCACTTTGGGTTTTTCTTAAAATTAGAAAAAAAAAGCATTTATACAAGTCCCTCCCTCTCCCTCTTAACCATAATGGATCGGGGTTTTTTTTCTTTATTTAAGCAGCTCGATACCATTGCATCTTTGTGAGACCTCAGACAATAAATAAGAAACCATCCCTGGGCGCCTACACACACAGAAATGTACATTCAGGAGATTCATAATTCATGGTGCTTGCTGTGGAGGGGACAACCAGGACGGGCACCTCTGGCTGCAGCGGAGCAGGGGCAGCGCACGGCCCTGGGGGTGTTGGTCCACACCAGTGCGGGGCCGAGCACTGGGGGTGGGTCCTGCCGAGGGCTTGGGCTTTGCGAGAGCCCAGCGTGGGGCACAGAGCTGCTCAGTGCACCTCGGGGCAGGGGAGGAGGAGGGCGGGTGTCTGGGGGCTGCAGCACTTGGTCAGGCACACACCAGATCACACACACACACACCAGATCTCACACACATCAGATCTCACACACATCAAATCTCACACATCAGATCTCACACACCAGATCACACACACATCAAATCTCACACATCAGATCACACACACCAGATCACACACACACACACCAGATCTCACACACACCAGATCTCACACACATCAAATCTCACACATCAGATCTCACACACCAGATCTCACACACATCAAATCTCACACATCAGATCACACACACCAGATCTCACACACACATATATCAGATCTCACACACACATCTGATCTCACACACACACCAGATCTCACACACCAGATCTCACACACACACACACACATCAGATCTCACACACACACACCAGATCACACATACCCCAGATCTCACACACACATCAGATCACACACACACACATCAAATCTCGGCAAGAACCAGGCACTTGGGCACTGAGACCACTTGGGGATCACTCCCGCTCGCCCTCTTTAGCTGATCGCAGGCTGCTGGGGGCTCCCTGCTCGCTCTGCCTCCTTCCCGCGCTGAACTCCTGTTACAACCCTTTAAATGAGCACACTTGGGCCCCAGGGGCTGAGCGCTGACCTGTGGGTGCTCAGCTGAGCTATTTTGGCTTTCCAAGACCTGCTTGGTTCGTTTTCCTCGCTGCATGACCTTCGGGGCTGCATCGACGCACGCGGGTGGGAAGGGATGTGCAGCACAGAGCTGGAGGTTAAAGGGGCTGTGCTGGTGCGGTTGGGGTTCGGAGCTCTCCCAGGTAAAACCCCAGGGAAAAATCCCTATAAAGGATGGAAAGGGTGGTGACGTCCTCCCTACCCCAGGGAAGGGGGCATGGGAGGGCAGTGGGGGCTATCGGAGCTGCAGAGCCACGTCCCAGGCCTGGTTCAGCTCACACTGCTCCCCAAAGCCTATGGGGTTTGGGGACCAAAAAAAGTAGGTGGTCAGTGGGGTTAAAGCCCTGGCTTGAAGGGATCTGGGGGTTCTGGGGCAGACGGAGCTGCTTGGAAAAGGAGTGACAAGGCATTTCTGCACAGCACACAAAGTTCGCCACCATCAGCACCTGAGCCAGCCCTGGACCCCATCCCCGCCTCTGGGGACCTCCCTGCTGCTGCTGCTGCTGCTGCTCCCGGGGCTGCGGGTGCTGCTCCTCCAGGCCCTCCTGCCCCCCCCCATCCCCTCCTCCGGCCTCTGCCTGCCCATCCCTTCCCACTACCACGGCCTCATGGTCACCAGTACGAGCTGCCACCTTTCTACTCCCTCTATTCTCTTTCAGCATCCTCCGTGGTACCCAACCACCACCACCTCACTTCAAGCTCCACCATGTTTGCTCCTGCCCGCATCCTTCTGCAACCTTTCTTCCTATCCACTGAGTTTCCCAGTAGTAACTTACACCAGCCCCAAAGCCACGTAGTAACTTACTTACAGTGGCCCCAAAGCACATAGTAACTTACAGTGACCCCAAAGTCATGTAGTAACTTACTTACAGTGGCCCCAAAGCCACGTAGTAACTTACTTACAGTGGCCCCAAAGCCATGTAGTAACTCACACTAGCCCCAAAGCCACATAGTAACTTACACCAGTCCCAAAACCACGTAGTAACTTACTCACAGTGGCCCCAAATCCACGTAGTAACTCACCCCAGCCCCAAAGCCACCACCTGGCGCAGGCTGTGGGGACACCACCTCGTCCCCTGGCCGCGGGAGGGGAGCACACACGCACACAGACACCCACACGTTATATACACGGGACATTCCCAGGAAGAAGCACTTAATACATCCTTTAAATAACTCTGACAATAGTATTCTGTCTCCTATCTACATGTGTCAAACACGTTACCGGTGCTATGAAAATATAGCAAACGTACAAAAATATACACATTTTAGAAAAAAAAAACAACCAACCCCCGAACCGTATAAATTACTTACACTGTACATAAGGTGAAATGGAGCTGACGAAGCGAACGCAGGCCCCGGGGAGGCTTCGCTGGGCACGGCGAGCACAGCCCAGGCGTAGCCCAGCGCGTGGGGAGGCTGCGGGGACCCCCGAAAACACCCCCTTCACCCAGCGCCTCTGCGCTTCTCGGGGGAAGGCGATGCCAGGAGGGAGCCGTGCGGCTGCGTTCACGTCCTCAGCGCTTCCTCATTTCAGGTTACGATGATTTCAACAACAACAAATACTGCTTTAGTGACGCGTCACCCCGTTCCCGTGAGCTCGTGCGTGTCGCCGTTAGCCGAGGAAAGCGCTGTTTAAAGTGCTGGGCAGTACATAACCGACAAGTAAACCGTAAGTACAACACCTACACGTACGTCAATACATTCCTTGGGTTAGAAAAGCCCTGGGTGGCAGC